CGCTCGTGTGCGTCCACCCCTTATACATTAGTGTGTGTTTTTTTCTGTGTGTGTGTGTGTGTGTGTGTGTGTGTGTGTGTGTGTGTGTGTGTGTACGTACATGTGTGCACTTGCATGTGGAGGCTAAAGGCAGCCTCAGGTGTTGCTCCTCAGGAGCCAATCCACTTCTTCTGAGACAAGGTCTCTCACTTGCCTGGGATGCACCAGAAGTCTAGGCAGCTGTCACTGAACCCAGGGACCACCTGGCTCTGCCTCCCCAACACTAGGACAACACGCATACACCGCTACACTTGGCTTTTTCATGTGGGTTCTGAGAACTAAGCTCAGGCCCTTTTCTACTGACAGAGCCACATCCCCAGCCCTGACTCATGGTCTTAGCTACAAATTTGAACAGACTGGCTCACCGCCCTGTCTCAGACCACCATGTGACTGGGGGCACCATATGCAGCTGTGTGGTACCTGACTGTGGGAAGTTGCTCTGGTCATCATACTGAGGAACTAGATGGAGGGCTTTGAGCTCTTTCGTGCCACAGTTGTCTATGCACAACATCTGTGTACCTCCCTTCAGCTGACAGATCACCTGAAAAGACACCAGGAAGAAATGACACCAGGAAGAGGGTGGTGACGCCAGTTCTGAGCCCCAATAGACTGACAGCTGAGAAGACTTTCACCCAGTTTAAGTCTTGGGGGACAATGGAAAGCTGTGGCACTGTCCCGTGCCTTCCTCTACTCCTACCGCTCTTTAGAAACCTCCCAGAACTCGGCTTCAGGACCATGCACCTTTGGACAGAGCTTCCTTCCTGATGGCGTCACTTCATGGCCATGTGACCAGGAAGAGGCCTGCCCTTTGAACCTCAGTTTCCTCCCTTGAGACCCACTGGGGCTGCATGTATCTTTAGAAAGAAGAACTTAGTGATTGGAAGATTCTAAGAGACCATGTCAACCCCCCAAGTACGCAACTTCAGCAAGCCAGGTGCATCTGGTGTCAGAGCCATCAAGCCAGGTGCTGATGGACGGCACTCACTGCATGCCCAGTTGCTCCAGGCATGTGGCATGTACAGGGCAGTGATTTCTACCCTAGCCAGGAAAAGCCAGATGGTCATCAGAATAAAATATGAGAGTCAGCAGGGGAGGGGGGCAGGTCACTCACATGGACCTGACACCAGGGAAAGGCCAGTTACCACAGGTGTGCACTGCGCTGGGAACGACCCAGAGTGGGCTCCAGGATAGGCCTCTGTGTGTTGCACAGCCCTGGGTTGACACCCAAGCATCACTCTACAATGTGGGGGGAGTCAAGAGTCCTCATCCTGTGAACTAGTTCTACCATGAGAACCTGGGACCCCAAAGAGTCTCAGACAAGGCAGGTGCCAGTGTCTGCATCCAAAGCCAGATTCTGAGACCTCAAGTATTTCCTGGGATAAAGCCTATGCCTTAGACCATGATGTCATTTAGAAGCCAAGAACCCTGAAGGTGAGTGATCCTTGTTTGTTGAGACCGAGCATTTGGTTGAAGGAGTGCTGGGTGATTCCCCAACTGCCCCAGGGCAGTTCTAGAAGTACCATTACAATACGGGGATAAATGCCAGTGATGGAGCACTGGTAGATCTGAGATGTGGTGCTAAAACAAGACCTGCCTCCAAAGTTGGTGGAAGAAATGACATTGCCAGGTGCAGCCACAGAGGCACCCATTATATACCACAGGCTGAATCAATGGCTACCTGGAGCAGGCAAGCAGGAAGGCCAAGCCTGTACCCTGACACCTCAGAGCCACAGCATTACACTGACCAGCACCCTAAACACTAGTGCTGAGCTGCTGTCCCCACCTCAGTTCCCCACCCCCAGCTCTGCGTGGACAGTGTGACTTCTGGTGGGTCTCCCTAAAGGACACAGCCATGTCCCAATCATTGTTTGCTTAGATAGGGCACAATAAGATTCCTGGAGGTAAAAGGTGAGAGGTGAGGGCGCCAACTGACTCTTCCCCCTTTGTAGACGAAACAAGCAATAGGCGCTGACCAGCACGTGAATACAGTGAGCGACATACACTGAGACTGTCTACGGCTGGCCTGAAATTACCATGGGGCTGGAGTCCTTCTTCCAAGAGCAGCTGGAGGCCTCCTGTGCCTCTTGGGACGATGGGAACTTGCAGTAGGATTCCTGAGCCAAAGGGTTCTGGAAAGCTGCCTCCTCGGGATTGCTGCCTGACACAGTCCCGTCTGCTTCCTTTATTTCAACCTGGAAACGCAGCAGCCATGTCAGAGAACACAGGGACACACAGGCTCACACCATCACTTCACACAGAACATGGTGTCAGCTACAGAGAAGAGCACCCTCACCCTCACTGTCATTCTTCACTGCGTGTCTGGAACCATGGCCCCGCTTGGGGAACAAGGGGGACAAGCCATCTGACTGGTCTCACTCAGGACTCAGAGGCAAGCCATCTGTTCCAGGCTGTGGAGATTTTAGTGTGGTGCTCGTGTGGACTCAAAAATACAATGTAGGCCGGGTGCGGTGGCACACATCTTTAGTTCCAGCACTCAGGAGGCAGAGGCAGGCGGATCTCTGTGAGTTCAAGACCAGCCTGGTCTACATAGTGAGTTCCAGGACAGCTGGGGCTACAGGGAGACCCTGTCTCAAAAAGACCAAAAAAAAAAAAAATACAATGTAGTGTTGAGCATACAATCAAGGATGGGCGAGATGGCTCAGTGGGTAAAGGTGAGCAAGTCTGACAACCTGAGTTTGATCCCTAGGACGCACATGGTGGAAAGAGAGAACAGACTCACTAGGGTTGTCCTGACATCCACATGTGTGTGAACGAGTGTTATGCCTGCATGTGTGTAAGTACACCCATGCCGTGCAATACCTGAGGGGGACAGAGGGGGTGTCAGATCCCTTGGAATTAGAGTTATGAACAACTGTAAGCCACCATGCAGGTGCTGGGATATGAACCCAGGTCCTCTCTAGCCCTAATTTTTTTTTTTAAAGAGTACAGTGTCTACTGCACATGTTCCAGGGCATGGGTACAGTTCCTTGTGCAAAACCAAGTAATAAACAGATGTGTATAGCTTAAATCACTGACCAGGCCCCAGACGGTGGTGTGTTTCAAGCTCTCTGCCAGCCCCTTGTCCCTCTACTGAAGCTGGAAGCCTGAAGGGACTGTGTGAGGATCTGAAATGCCGGCTCCTGGTCACACACCTTCTAGCTCATTCGGCTGTACTGAGGGTTCTAATGCACTGTTTGTTTGTTTTTTTCCTCAAGAAACCAAATCTGGGGCTGGAGGGACGGCTCAGTGGTTAAGCGCACTGACTGCTCTTGCAGAGGACCCGGGTTCGATTCCCAGAACCTACATGGTGGCTACTAACCGTCCTTAGCTCCAGTTCCAGAGGAATCCAACGCCCTCTTCTGACCTTCGAGGCATTGCACGACATGGGTGCACTCACATACATGCAGGCAGTACACACATACACGTAAAATAACAATAATAGAATAGTAAGAATAAACCACCAAATCCTCAGACGTGTTCACTATTCATAATGTATCACTTAGAACACAACCTGAGGCAAAATAGGACAATTAACAAATGGGAGAAGACAGTCAACAGCTGGGATTCTCGGCTGTTCTCTGCAGCAGCTCTCAACTCAGCAGCACATTAGCCAAACTACTAAAAACATGGAGAAATAAGCAGGTGTCAAGAATCCTAGCACTTGGGATGCTGAGGTAGGACTAGAGCTGGGAGCCGAGGAGAGACTGTATCAGATAAACAGGCTGTGCGGTGCACGCCTTCAATCCCAGCACTTGGGAGACAGAAGCAAGATCTCTGTGAGTTTGAGACCACCTGGTCTAAATAGCGAGTTCCAGGCCAGCAAGGGCTACACAGTGAGGCCCTGCCTCAAACAGGACTGGAGAAATGGATCAGCAGTTAAGAGCACTGGCTGCTCCTGCAGAGGACCTGGGTTCAGTTCCCACACGGCAGCTAATCAACCATCTGTAACTTCAGTTGCAGGGGATCCAATGATCTCTTCTGACCTCCAAATTGCACACACAGGTACACTGCACTTACATACGTGCAGGCAAAACACTCATACATGTAAAAACATATCTTATTAAAAACCCTCTTCTGGCTTCCAGGGCACCCACACACATGGAGACGCAAACACGTATACAATAAATCTTTGAAAATAGAGCTAGTGTGGTGGCACATATTTTTAATCCCAGCACTTGGGAGGCAGAGGCAGGTAAACCTCTGTGAGATCAAGGCCAGCCTCATCTATATAATGAGTTCTAGGCTAGCTGGGGCAACAGGGAGATTCTCAAAAAAAAATTTAATGAATCAGGAAATGGTCTATAAAATTTAAAGAGCAGACTATCTTACAATGCCAACAATGTTAAACCTGAATCACATTAAGAGAACCCTGCAGTTCTCAATATCAGCCATTTCCCTTCCCTGTTCCACTCTTAGGGGAAGGAGCAGCTAGGACCACTAGACTGAAGACATCTGGCCCAACTCAGCCTGGCAGCACAATGGAGCTCCAGGTACTGGGAGCCATCTGGGAACTGTGAGGTAGACCTCTGACTTGGTATAAGGCTGGGGTGCTAAGGATCCTCTAGGGAAGGCTGGATCCCACCGTTCCTTGTCCTCTATGGAGCAGAAAACAAGATTTTTGAGGACAGATAGTAGAAAGCTGAGCTCTGGCAGCTGTGACCTGTGCTGTGTGAAGTCAAGCTCCCATCTTCAGTGATGGAAAAATACTCAACGAGGGTTTACTCTAGAGCTCACTGACATGCTAGACTGGGTGGGTGTGACCCAGGTTCCAAGTTGGAGTCTTCTGGGGGCCCAACACCACCTGTGCTGAGCTTGCTTTAAGGGCAGAGTTCTTCATTTCAGCAAGAAATTAGAATGAAGGGTTGGGGAACGTAGCTCAATGGGCAGAGTGCCTACCTAGTAAGCACTCGGCCATGGGTTTGATTCCCAGCATTGCATGAGCCGGGTGTGGTGGACTATGCGTGTGATCCCAGCAGGCCGGAGGCAGGATTAACCATTTAAGGTCATCCTAGGCTTCAGTACAAGTTCAAAGCCAGCCTCGGATGAATGAAAGAAGGGGAGGAGGAGGCCAGGAAGAGGGAGGGCGGCAGCAGCTCTCCAGCAGCATTTAACTGAGAGGCAGCAACCACTCACTCAACTTTGAAGAACTCTTATTATCCATCCATCTCAGCATGTTGTCCCACACCTTTAACCCATCCATCCATCCATCCATCCATCCCAGCGTGTTGGCCCACGCCTTTAACCCATCCACCCATCCATCCCTGAGTGTTGGCCCACGCCTTTAACCCAATCCATCCATCCATCCATCCATCCACCCATCCCAGTGTGTTGGCCCATGCCTTTAACCCAATCCATCCATCCATCCATCCACCCATCCCAGCGTGTTGGCCCACGCCTTTAACCCATCCACCCATCCATCCCTGAGTGTTGGCCCACGCCTTTAACCCAACCCAATCGGTTCCAGGTCCGCCAGGGCTGC